ATAGGATCCACAGGAGGCTCAAGAATGGACTTGAACAGGAATCAAGGAGGCAAGGCCCCGCCCCAGTTTGAAAGGCCACAGTCCGCTCAGGAGGGCCTCCACCAACTTGGGCACTCACTGAGACTGTGGCCCCCAGGCTGGGCCACTAGAATGACATCCACTGGCTCTCTTCCACCTCACTGCCTCCAGCAGCAGAGGCTGGCCGGAGCATCTGACTGGCCATGCTGAGGCCGTGTGACATACTCTATTGCTTCTCTCATTCACCTTTAGGCTTTACTACTGGGAAACAGAGAGTCTTCTTCCCTTCTATCTGGGGTGCCATTCCCCCAAGAAAATCAGAAGAATTTTGAGATGCTAGGCAGTCAAATGGTAAAGTAGAGGGTCAGTGAAAATGAAGGAACTCTCAATGAGATGGACTGACACAATAGTCATAACAGTGAACTCAAACATACCAATGATCATGAACATGGCACAGGACTAGGCAACATTTTCTTCTGTTATATGTAAGGTTGCCATGAGTAGGAGCTGACTCTACAGCAGCTTACAACAAGTGGTCAAAGGAGCATTGGTGGTTCAGTGGTAGAATTCTCACCTTCCACGCAGGAGACCCAGGTTCGACACACGGCTAGTGCACCTCAAGTGCAGCCACCACCCATCTGGCAGTGGAGGCTTGCCTGTTGCTATGATGCTGAACAGGTTTCAGCAGAGCTTCCAGACTAAGACAGACTAGGAAGAAAGGCTTGATGGACCTATTTCTGAAAAATCAGCCAATGAAAACCCTGTGGATCGCAACCATTCAACCCTGTTGTACATAGGGTCACCGTGACTTGGGGGCTGACCTGACGGTAGCTAACAACAACAGGCAGTCAAAATGACAAATGTCCTCTCCTTTGGGGGCCTCAACTAGATGCTTCCTAAGTTCCCTCCTAGCCCTCAAAACCCTTTAATTCTATTCTTTCTGAGGGCTGGGGCCATCTTCCTTTGGTTTTTTCCCATAGCACCTAGAATGGAGAGCTTTATACCAATTAAGCTCCCACTAAATGTTTTCACCAAGTATAATGAGTATGTTAGCCTTTGGCACAAAAGAAAATAATGATGCACACTTATTTATAGCAGCTAGCTTTTTGATTCAGAACAGACTGTTTCAGCTGCTGAGTTCCTTTTGTTTATCAGGAAAACAGTTGATATTTATCATTCCTCTTAGCAAAAGGAAGAAGAAGATGCATTTGAACATTTAAATGTTTCTGTGTATATATTTAAGTACTTAGTGGTTATATTACAGTGAATTAGTTGAGTAGAGCTGTTAGAACAATCCTCATTTTTCTGCTCCCTTCTCTTTACATAGGCTCCTTTGCCTAAATTCAGCCAATGTGATGCTCATACTTGTTTCCTTCTTTGTCATCCCTCGTCCGCCTTCCTCTAAATTAGTTTCCAAGTATGTTGGCTTTTCATTGCTTGGCGTCCTCTCCATAACATCTGTTCTCCCCTCCACCTTATTCCTAGCCCATACCACCTCACACCTGCATTAGCACCCCGCCACCATCTTGCCTGCTTTATCTTCTCAGCAAGCTGCTTTTGGGTATTTTCACTGTGCTTCTTAAAGGCACAGTAATGGCTTCTTAAGGAGCCCGGTGGCACAGTAGTTAAGCACAGTTCTGCTGTGTCCTGTAGGGTCGCTGTGATTTGGGAACGACTAGACAGTAATGGATTTTTAATCGCTCCTTGTTGCTCATCAGTGTAGCAGAGCAGTTCAGAGGGCTTTGGGTCAGGTATGCTTAGGTTCAGATGCCAGCTGGGCCACTTCCTGTGTGGATTAGTATTCAGATGTAGTGAACAAAACCAATTTCCAGTGGCCTAACCAAACATGAGTTTATCTCCTGCTCCCAGTCACAAGTCTGCTGAGAGGCAGCAGTCCGAGGCTGGTGGGGCTGCTGCAGCGCCTCAGAGCCTCAGGGGACCGGAGGCTTTCTCTCTGCACAGTCCTTCTAATGGGTGCTTGTCACCTCCTGGCTGCTCCACCTCCAGCATTGAGTCCGTGTCCCCTGGCAGGGATGAGGGCAAAGTGTGTGCTAGTTGAGGATGTCTTCTTCTCAAAGAGCTTTCCTGGAGGCCCTGCCCAACACTTCTCACTGTCCAGAACAGGGTCACATGTCCTCCAAATATTGTTTAGCAAACACATTGCCGATGTGGTCAAAATCAGAGACCAAGTGTTCACCTTACTTGGGATCTTGGAATACCTGTCTGTGCCATCGCTGGGCATAGAGTAGGTGTTCATTAACTGCTTCATACTTAGATTTTTAATATGTTTTTATTGGGGCAGGTTTTCACAGAAGGCCAGCTAGCATAATATTTATTGTGACCTCTGTAAATACCATTTAAAATTCTGGAATTCTTTTCTCTCCTCTCCAACCACTTTACCTTTATTGTGACCTCCGTTTTGTCACCCCCTCAGTGGCTCCTTTGTTGGCCCCCAGCCCCCTCTTCCTCCCTGCTTTCCCATCCATCATTCCATCTGTATTCTCCTTGGTGCCTGGGCTATGAGAATTACTAGAGAAAAATGGCCACATGGTGCCATAGGCCCCACTGCGGGTCCACACCACAGTCTTTGAGTTGGTCCTGATGTGATCATTCTGTTCCATCAGGGTGAGGTTTTTCTTGTTGTTTAAACCTTTTCTTTTCTTTTTAAGCTCCTAACCCTATCTTATTCCATCTTTACAGAGAAAGTTGAGGCTGGGCAGAACTACCACAGACGGGTCTTTCCTCTTTATCTTAGGGAACCTGCTTCCTTAGGGAAGTCCTTCCATCAGGGCCTCCTGTTGTTCCAGGGATCTGCTCTTGAGAGTTTTCTGGGACCTAATTTATCTCCTCAGCTTCTGCTCCTCTGCTGGCTTCTTCCTCTCATGTTGAGGAGATGCTCAAGTTTTCCCCATGAAAAAATAAATAAGTATGAAGCACTTAATGAACACCCACTGTATGCCTAGTGGTACAGATAAATAGCCTGTCTTTGCCCCCCTCTCCCCAGAGGGCCTTTGCTGAGTATCATGCTTCCCTTCACTACTCAACTTCATCTTTTCTGTACTCATCCAGCCACCATGGCCTGACACCCTTATCCAACGTGCTCCCAAACTATGTGCACAGAGTTTGAGTACCTGCTTCCTAGATCCAGGGCCTTTTGGCCTTCATTGCTTTTGACCCTATTCTCCTCCTATTTCCTGAGATCCTTTCTATGCCATGACACTGCTGCACCCTCTCCCCACCCCAGCTTCCCCCTTTCAGTGTCCTCTCCTGGTCCTTTCCCCCCCTTCCTTCTTAAATAGAGGTGTTTCCCAAAATTCTGCTCCAACTACCTTCTCTCTGAATACTCTCCTGGGGTAATCTCATCTCTTCCAGTGACTTCACTGTTCTTCTCATATGTGTGTCTTTGTCTGTCTAGATCTTTCTTTTGAGGTCCCAGATTCTCTCTAATTGTCTTCTGTCAATCGTCTCATGACACCTCAAACTTACCATGTTCCAAGCTAAACTCATGAATACCTTTCTTCTTCGCCTTCCCCTTCTCCTCCTCCTCCTACTTCTCTCTCTCTCTGTCTTACACACACACACACACACACACACACACACACACACACACTTACATGCATGTGCATGCACACAGGAGCCCTCTTTGCCAGGAGTTTGCTCCTAGATGGGCATGCCAGAGACTTTGCAGACCTCCTTCAGCTCCTGCTCCTCAGCGGCCCCCACTTCCTTGGACAGCCTGACCTTGTTGATTCTAACTCAGACACATTTCTTGGTTCTGTCCTTTTCATTTCCACTGCTGCTTTTATGGCTCACTGGCCTGGTGGTGCAGCAGTTAAGAGCTCGACTGCTAACCAAAAGTTTGGCAGTTTGAATCCACCAGCCACTCCTTGGACACCCTATGGGGCAGTTCTACTCTGTTCTATAGGGTTGCTATGAATCGTAATCGACTTGATGGCAATGAGTTTGGTTTTGCTTGCTCTAAGCCCTTGGACCATTCTATCCACCTTATTTCTGGCCTGCCCCCAGTTTGGTGTTACTCCTCACCGCAGGCCCCTATGACCTTCCAAAAGCTCTGATGTGATCATGTCACTCTGTGTGGAAACTAGAGTTTGACTGAGAGTGAAGTCCAAACCCAACCAACACTTGTAGATCACCCCCCATGGGCAGGCACTGTACCAACCCTTAGGTAACAAAGAGAAAGAAGTCATGATTTCTGTACTTGATAGTTTCTCAGAGCGTGGCTGGTCTGGGGCAGGGAGTTGAGGACAGCTACACTACCAGTTATGATGGTCAGAACTTCAGTTGCTCAGAGGAGGGACAACCAAAGCTGGGGTGAAGGAGGGAGATGGAACAACTTTGAGAGGAAGCTGACATTTTGGACTCTTCAGTGACTTGGCCCCAGCCTGCGCTGCCCTCCAGCCTGATTCCCCACTCCTGCCTGAGTGCCCAGGCTTGGCCCGCACTGGACTGCTTGTCATTGCCAATTCAAGCGTAGCCTTTTTTGTGCCTCCACAGCTCTGTTCACGTCACTCCTCTTCCTCAAGTGCCATTTCCGTATCGTAACTGTGTTTTTTCTGTTCATCTGTCAAGGCCAGCTCAGTTACTACCCTTCCAGGACATCATTTCTACTCTTGTGATCAGTTCCCCTTGGTACTTTCTGTCTCCCCCTCTGTGGCACTTGTAGCCTTGGCCTTGCGTTTGAATGGTGTGCATGCCTGCTTCTTTCTCTGTACTAGATAAAAAGCTACTTGAGACCAGGGATTGTGCCTTAGTCACCCGTGGATTGTCTTGGCCTCTGGCATGGTGCGTTGTATCCTATAGCTACTCCTCAGGAGGTGTTCGGTAGAAAATGGTGTCTTACTATCCCAGGGAACCAGATTTTGTAGGACTTGTCTTCATGTGTGTAGACACAAACTCACACTTGTCCAGTTGTGACCCTGGCAATTCTCAGATGCCTGCGTTTGTTCTTCTTTCCAAACCAGTGCTTAGAAAGAGCCATGAAGTTTGCCTTTGAGGAGTTCCACCTCTGGTACCAGTTTGCCCTGTCGCTGATGGCTGCTGGAAAAGTGAGTCATCCTTTGTAATGTGCAGCTCTCTTTGTTATGGTTAATGTCATTGCATTTCATGGGATGGAAAATTGTGGATGTGTAAACCAGCTATTTTAAGCTGTCGCCTGGCCATTTCCAAATGAACAATCACGTAAATCGACTAGCCATTTTAATTATTTGGGGGCCAACATGGTCACGTGTTGTGAAGAAAAATTCTGTTGAATTTGCACTTTTTTAGCCATCATAGCCTTGTCATGTGACAAGGACGTGGCTTAAATCTTCACACCGACCCCTTCATTCATTTGAGAGCTTATTCTTGGAGAGGAAGCTCTGTTGGTTATCTTTTGCAGTCAGTTATATTAGGTGGTATATGATACTGGTATATGATACTGGTTGAAAGCATGGGCTGTAGAACCCCATGCTGAAGGTGGATCCTGGTATTGCCCCTCATAGCTATGTGAGCCAGGGCAAGGTACTTAGTATCTCAATTTCTTCTTCTGTAAAATGCAGTGATGATAGTACCTACTTCCTAGAATTGTTGTCAGGTAAATGAGATAATAATGCATAAGGTGCTTAGAATAGCACCCACCACATGGCACACCGTCATTAAAAGCAGTAACTGTTGTTTTTCTTGTTCATTTGGGCCATTTAGTGAGTCTCTGCCATTTAGTGAATTGTTAGATCTGAGATTACTTGGGCTAAGTGGAACCAAAATTTTAGTATAGTATGCTTTAAATTGAATATTTTATTTTTTGTAATAACATAAGCCTCAAGTATCTTTTTTTTTCTTCTTATTTTTATAATGGCTGCACAAGTAGGGAATAAAATGAGAGCGAAGCCAGAGAAGCACTTCCGCTTGTTTTAACCGTGGGATGCTCCCCTGTCACTCGAGAGCCCCAAGCTGTAGTCATGGCTGTCCCCAGGCCTCTGGTTGGGCTCAAAGTTGGAAAATCTCACTAAGAGAGCATCCTAACCAAACCCCCTCTGAGAAGGTATTAGTGTTTGGTTCTGTCAAAAGCTTTGAGTTTCACAGAGATAATCTTCTCTTGACAAGTCTGCACGTGCCGTGAAGGTGTTGAAAGAGTGTATCCGTCTGAAGCCTGACGATGCCACCATCCCGCTCCTTGCTGCGAAGCTGTGCATGGGCTCCCTTCACTGGGTGAGTGGGGATGGCTTCTCCTCAGCAGGCACTCAAGGGCAGGGCTCGCTTCACTGGGTGAGCAGGCATAGCTTCTCCTCAGCAGGCACTTGAGGGCAGGGCTCCCATCACTGGATGAGCAGGGATGTCCTCTCCTCAGCAGGCACTCAAGGGCAGGGCTCCCGTCACTGGATGAGCAGGGATAGCCTCTCCTCAGCAGATACTCGAGGGCAGGGCTCCCTTCACTGGGTGAGCAGGGATCGCCTCTCCTCAGCAGGCACTCAAGGGCAGGGCTCCCGTCGCTGAGTGAGCAGGGATGGGTTCTCCTCAGCAGGTGCTCCAGGGCAGGGAATACCAGCCTTTTTCATGTCAAGGCATAAAGAGAAAATGATAGTAATTCATCAGCTAGATAAGGGCAAGGCTGTTTAAAGCCACATACCCCTGACCTGGGCCACCAGCCTCCTCAGCCCTCTCCACGTACTCCAAGAACTGACGAAAATCAGTATGTTTTAGGTTACTCTGGGTTTTTCTTTTTCATGGGAGTGTGCAATGATAAGCTACAACTGCAATCCTTACTCAAACACATCTTGCTTTATGCAAGTGATGTAGAACTAAAAAAGTAGATGTCACTAAATTATGTGTTCCTAGCAGAGCCCTGGTTTTTCCGTAAAGCAAAGAGTTACCCTCTGCTTTAGTGCATGTGTAAATCCATATTTCTTCATCATTGAAGAACCCAAATAGTTTCTCCTTCCTCTTTCTTCACATAGGGTTTCTTATTTAAATATTCTTATTCAGACTTGAATTTTGGAATAGCCTGATTTTGGACAATTCTAGTACCTCAAAAATATATCAATGGAGCAGTAAATAGAAAACTCAGGCCCACTGCTGATGGCGGCATAGGTGATTGCCACACAGGATGGAGTTTTTTTTTTAATTTTTATTTTTTATTGTTGTGCTTTAAGTGAAAGTTTATAATTCAAGTTAATCTCTCATACAAAAATTTATACATGCATTGTTATGTGACCCTAGTTGCTCTCCCTATACTGTGACAGCACACTCTTCCTTTCCGCCCCGGATTTCCCGTGTCCATTCAACCAGCTCCTGACCCTCTCTGCCTTCTCATTTCACCTCCGGACAGGAGCTGCCCACTTAGTTTCAAGTATCTACTTGAACTAAGAAGCACACTCTTCATGAGTATCATTTTATGTCCCATAGTCCAGTCTAATCTTTGTCTGAAGAGTTGACCTCAGGAATGGTTTTAATTCTGGGTTGACAGAGAGTCCGGGGGCCGTGCTTTCTGGGGATCTTTCAGTTTCAACCAGATCATTAAGTCTGATCTCTCTACTAGAATTTGAATTCTGCACCCCATTTTTCTTATGCTCAGGATGGAGTTTTAATTTCTTTTCTTTAACTTCACCTCAAGATTAGTGATAAGGATTTGCTCAGAAATGCTTGCTAAGGTTTTTCACCATTATGGTCCTTGCTGCTTATTTTTTTCAGTACATTCTCACCCAGCAGGACAAAAGGAAGCCTTGTGAAGATAGTGTTCCACTTCTGTTGCATTTTGCTTGGGAAAAAGTAGAAGAAAAAGAGACATTTTCAAAGAGCAGGCTCTCACCTGAAAGACACAGCTGTGCCAGCATTGTGTGGTTCGCACAGCTCTGAGGGGTAGGCCTGACAGCTGGATGCTGCCCACCCAGGGAATAGTACAGCAGGCTCCGGGAGTGGGTGGCTGAGTGGACCAGACCTTTCAGTTTTGGAAAATGCCAGCTTCCAGCTGTGACTCTGCTGCCCTGCTTCCAGCTGTGGCATTATTTATTGCTGTCACATACCGATCTCTAACCCCTAAAATAAACCTGACTTGTTTCTTTGCGATGAGAGGAACAAATCTTTTCTGTGTACTTTCGTTATTTTTATTATGAAAATTTCCAAACACCAGCAAAGTAACGAGTATAATCAACTCCCATGGACTGTCACTTAGCTTCAATAACATGGACATATTGCCATACTTTGAAGGAACAGATCTTATTATTTTTTGCCTCTAATGAATTGTGCAAAAGGTCTTATAGTGGGTGTAGTTTACAGGTGCATATTTTCTCGTTGGAATCTGCTGGTGCGAGGTCCATGTGTTGTGTATTGTAAAAAAAAAAAAAAACATAGAGTTTTGCAGTTTTTAACAGCTTGTAGAAAAATAATTCAAGCCTAAATAGATGTTTTTTGCTATGAAGGAAAAAAAAAAAAGGAAAGACTCAAACACAAAACATTCTAAGGACTTTAGTCTTTAGAAATTTATATAATTCAACTTCTGAATACCTGACACAGCCTCATTACAGAACCAATCGGTAAAAAGTAACGATGAAAAAGATAGAACCCTACCAAGTATGAAAGTGACTTTGGAAAAGAAGGCAGGTAAGCAATAAGGAAAACTATAAAGAGAAAAGCAAAGTGGGAATCCTCAGGATTGTTAGAGAGGCTCAAAAAAGAAAACAGAGTCAACAGGGTGGAATTGGAAGATCTGGGAGATATTTTGAAAGTGACTCATCAGAAATCCATTTTAGCAGCAGGTGTTTCTGGGAACTCATGTTGGAAATTCTGCAGGTTGTTGTTGCTTTTAACTTATCTCATTTTTCAGTTGGAAGAGGCTGAAAAGTTTGCCAAAACTGTCGTCGATGTGGGAGAGAAAACATCCGAGTTCAAGGCCAAAGGCTACTTAGCTCTGGGGCTCACGTACAGTCTGCAGGCTACTGATGGTGAGAGCAGTCCCACCCCATGGGCAGCTGCTGGGCCACCGGGCTGGCCTGCCTGACCAGGTCTCCACAGCAGGGTCCCCACAATCCCCTTCTGCTTTAGGAGGGAGGATACATTGGGTCATTCTGTTGTGCCATCCTCTGGGCCCCCAGTGCTGCCATCCTGTCTGCTTGGGCTGGTAGGAGAACAGGAGGGAAAGGAGGAAGGCCATGGGCCAGGGCTCCCTGGAGTCTCTTCACAGGTGCATTAGGCTGGCGGTGCCCCAGGTACACAGGGCAAGCACAGCACATCTGCCGGGAGGGTGAGATCAGCAGGGCTTTGAGAGATGATCCGTCTGACTCAGCCTCATGCCTGCCCAGCCCCCTCCCCTGCCCAGCACTTGACCTGCGCTGTCGTGTAAAGAGGTGTTGGGTCTTAGGCACAGGAAGGTAGAAGAGTTCAGGGCCAAACACTTCCAGGAAGCTTCTCCTGGCTGGTCAGGAACTGCCCCTTCTCCAGTCACACATTTTAATTCTCAGATACATATACATCCAGTGCAGGGCGTACTTAGAGTGTTGGATGTACTTACAGTTTTGGTGGAGGGACTTCTGGATACAACCGTCTTAATGATGCTTTGTATACTTAATGAAATTTTCAGTTATATGCTTACAGAAAGTGTAGGTTGATAAATTATTTTCCCGAACTCTATTATTCTTTCAACATTTTATTGTGAAATAGAGCACAGATTTCCTCCTTGTGTTCACGTCATGATATTCAAGGTCCTGGTCATTGCCTCGTGTGAATTAAACTGGCTTGTTCGTGGCGTCAAGCTGGGCTGTCAGCTTCTCAGTGCCAGAAGGAGCTCTGAAGGCCATCTAACCCAACACATTGGGACTTGAATCTCTTTATACCATCCTGGTAGAGCCAGTCTTTACCATGAGTGACATGCCTGTGCTTGGGAGGACAGACATGCTTCTCTCTCAAGTTCTCAGCGGTTTTTTTTTTTCCTTAAAGGCCCTCATATGCATGGGGATACCAAGAGTGACCATCTAAGTCCCTCTCTGCCCTTATCACTGTTCCACAGTATGTCCAGTGGGTGTCAGGGCCCCAGGGTGGGACTGAACTTCGTTCCCTGTCTTCTGCAGCACCTGGCACAAGGCTGGTTTAAATCCAGTTGAATGTATCATTTTTGTGATGGGTTTTGTGTTTGTCAAAAGCTCGTTGCTCTCCCATGCCACTGACTAATTGGACCCTTTTCTTAGCTTCTCTGCGAGGGATGCAGGAGGTCCTGCAGAGAAAGGCGCTTCTTGCATTTCAGAGGTGAGTGGGCGTTCATCTTTTCATTCGGCTGTACATAATGACACCAAAGTATGATAAGTATAAAAAGAAGAGATATTTATAAAGATTATGTAAACAGTGTTTTACCCCTGGGAGTCTGTCGTCTTGAGCACTGAACATACAGTATGAAAACTTGCTGCATCACTTGTTGCTGTGTAAATCTGCATGCTTAGTCTGCTTATCCATTTGGGCACGTTTTAGTCCTTCCTAATAAAATGATTTCAGCTCTAAGAAGATAGATACTTTGTATGTCCCGGGAGATGATTCCCTTATTAAAGACATTTGTCATCTAGAAAAGAGACCATTCTTTTCTAGCTTTTTTTTTTTCAATATGTCAAGCTGCAGATATTATGTTAGGAAATGAAAAAGCCAGGTTTTAGGAAAGCCTCTGAAAGAGGATGGCGGGACAGTCAGCCCAGCAAGCCCCAGGACCCCTGCCCCCACCATGCTCCTCAGTGCCTTTCCTGAAGGTAGTAGAATGCCTTAGAGTCAGGTATTAAGCTCTTGAGTGTTGCCATGCTCTTTCACATCCTTTATTTAATTTCGTCCTCTCCCCACACCAGTGAGGTAGACAGGACAATGGTGTGCTCATTGCAGGTAAAGGACTGAGGCACAGAAGTTAAAGGAGTTGCCAGTGCCACCTAGATATTGAAGTCAGGGTAGAATCCAGGTCTCCTGACTCTTAACTCAGTTTTTTGGTACCTACCATACTAAGAGCTTGGCTGCTAACCAAAAGGTCAGCAGTTTGAATCCACCAGGTAGTCCTTGGAAACCCTATGGGGCAGTTCTACTCCATTCCATAGGGTCTCTATGAGTCAGAATCGACTCAACGGCAGTGGGTTTGGTACTACACTGGAGCCCTGCTGGTGCAGTGGCTAAGAACTACGGCTGCTAACCAAAAAGGTTGGCAGTTCGAATCCACCAGCTGCTCCTTGGAACCCTATGGGACAGTTCTGCTCAGTCCTCTAGTGTCACTATGAGTCAGAATCAACTTAATGGCAATGAGTTTTTGTACTACACTGCTCTAATTTTATTCTTATTACAGGTATGATAAACCACTAAAATGAAATCGTTGCCTGAAACCATAGCCTCATGATGTGAAATCTAGAATTGGTATTGATTCTGTCACCTGAAGCATAGCTGTTACATTGATTTCTTGGAATTGTGTTAGGAACTTAATTGTTCACATGTAAGTTTCGTGAGGACCTCTCAGTACCCAGTAACCTTTGTTAAAATCCGTTTCTTAGAACTGGGGTTACCTACAGACTTGCCCTAGTAACAGGTTCCTTGTTCCGTGAAGTTGCTCGCTGTCACTTGGTTTCAGTTACTCTGAAACCCTTCAGGCTCATGTCTTCCCATTTCCTAGCAGACTTGCTGGTAGCTTCTTCACTTTGCCAGTCCCAGGAGGGTTTAATGACAGAAAGTCCCAGCCGGTATCTGCAAACAGATCTCCTGTCTCCTTGCTAAGCTTTTGTTGATGTTCTTCGGCACAGAGTGTGGAAGGCATTTCCATTTCAAATGATTTGGTGTTTTAAATTCTCCAGTCCTAGTTTGTAAAACCCACACATGGGTGCCTAAGAAAGTGGTCATTACATCTGTTTCCCTTTTCTGAAATCAGCACGTTGCACTGGCTCTCTAAAAACAGCCGTGGTGGAGGTCTGCCGGGAGCCACCAGAATTCATAACTCCATGTTATATAACAGCTGTTCCATTGGCCTGAATTCCTTTTTGTTCCTTTTTGGCTTAGGCTTTAATTCAAAGAGATTTTTAAAATATTAGTTCACATGGGAGTAAAGAGTAATAAAATCCCACTAACCTGACTGATTACACTGGGGTAGGCTAACCTAAATTAATATTTGTGTGAAATATAGAATATTTTTCTAGGGGAATAAAATTGTTTTGTTTCAAACACACATTGACTAGGACTGTTCTACTGCACTGTAGTTTCCTTAACAAAACTCTTTAAGGGAAAGATTTTAAGTCGGTAAGAATGATTTTATCACATTTTAAATGTAACTGAATATTTTAAAACCACTTGGACAAGTACTTTTTCTACTATGTATTTTAAATCTTCCTCCTGCAGTTCTGTTTATACTATTGTTTTACATTTTTGTTTTAAAAAGAGAAAATTAGACAATGTAACTCCAAAAGGAGAAGGAGCTGCAGGTATATCGCGTGAGAATTAGTAGCAAGACTTGCTCTATCCTGGATTCAGAAAGATGGTTTTTAAAGACATCCCAGTTGTGTGGCTGCTTCTTAATATTGAGAGTCATGGCTATTCATATGTTCCTAAGCTCAGCTCAGGCAGCTAAACCAATTTGTTTGCCCTGTATGAAAGTATCAAACCGAAAACCAAACCCACCGCCGTCGAGTTGATTCTGACTGTAGCCACCCCATAGGACAGAGTAGAACTGCCCGATAGGATTCCTAAGGCTGAAATCTTTACGGAAGCAGACTGCCACATCTTTCTGCTGTGGAGAGGCTGGTGGATAGTGAAGAAAAACATCACACTGTTTGCCAAGCTTTCTGAAGATGCTGAGTACCTGAGTTGCCGCTGCCATGGGCTCTCACACCCTCCAGAGAAAAGCAAGCCTGAAAAGAGCGAGAGCACGTTTCAGTGAATTGCCCCACGGCATGCAGAGAGCAGCTCTCCGAGGGCGGGCCCTGGGCTGCTCCATGAGGAGAGGTGGGATGGTGGCACGTGTGTTTGTCACACAGCAAGGGACAGGGAGCAGAATCCCACTTTGTGTTCCCAACTCCCTCCTAACTTGAGTTTGAGTGTGATGCATTTTATGTGTATAGGGTGATGACCGTCCCGGTTTGTCAGTGTCCAAGCAGTTGCCCGGGACGTGGGACTTTCAGTGCTGAAACCAGGAGAGTCCCAGGCAAACCAAGGCACATTGGTCACTCTATGTGTTTATAACTCACGTGAGGTTCCTGAGTAATAGATTTAACCAGGTTGGTAAATTTCGTTCTTAATTTATGTACTCTAATCCCATGTCTACTGTAATCAAGACTGAAGGGGACTTCAAGGAGAAATGGCAAAACAAAGCAACAGAGTGATATGGGAGAAACCAGACCTTGGACTCACTCTCTTTCTGTCTCTACCTTTTTTACTGAGCATTCTTGGACAAGGTGCTTAGCAATAGATGCTTCTAAATTGTAGTTATTATTGTTATAAAGTATGTGTCTTATTGTCCAGGGTCAAAATTGATCAGCCTGCTCTGTGCTTTTGGTTCAGCTTTAGAGGGTGTTGGAACTGGAGTCTAGAAGAGCAGTGGGGTAGACCTCAAGGCATTCTGCATTCTAGTCGGGGCCATCTGGGAGCCCATCCGATGCTCTCCACTAGCAGCCTGGCTTGCCTCTCTCAGGGCATTGCCCCCACGGCACTGTAATGGCCACTCCAGGTCTCCCTCTGGGTGGGGGCTCCTGAAGGGCTGGCACTGGTCTGGTTCCTCTCTAGGCACCTGGGACTGGCACAGGGCCTGGCATCCCAGTTGTTGTTGTCGTTGTTGTATGCCACTGAGTTGACTCCGACTCGTACCCTGTAGGCACCGCATAATGTTGTGGATGGATGGATGGGCAGCCTCGGTAGCCCAGCAGTCTGACTAGTCTTCTTTCCTCACGGAACAGAAATTGAATTAATGGATGTGGATGTGCTTTGACAAGGGACGCCCTTTGTGAGCATCCCTGTGGTGACATTTTTAGGCCTCTCGGTTTCTCTTAGCAGCCTCACCAGGTGGCTGTTTCAGATTCACGTGCGGCATCCAGCAGGTTTGCAGTTTTCCAGAACACTTACATCTTTCCTCTCACCTGCGTTGCTTGGTGTTTTCTGTTGAGCAAGTTGGCAGTAGGCAGAGCCGCGGGGCCTTGTCACAGGGAGCTGAGCTGCTGCAGCCGTCCTGCACAACTGCAGCAAGCATCCCACATCTACGTGAAGTCAACACTGGGCACTTTTTCTTGTTTTCCATGACATTCTTCTTCATTTCTTCTTTCATAGGCTGAAGTGGTGAGCTTAACTCGTCGGTGAAATTACCGAACTAAGATGTTTTAAAATGCCGTGTGTTTAAGTTGTGCCTCATTAGAAATTTGGCAGTAGAACATCCATTACTGGCGAAGTTGGAAATTCTTCAGAGTCCTTGCAGATATTACCCTAATGCACCCCAGAAATGCCTAGGTTTCTAGCACTTCTGGTTGTTTCTTTCACAGTGCTATGGCCAACAGTTTAAATAATCATTTGATGGGGCCATGGCAGGGCCTTTGGATAGACCCCTCTTTATCCACACCCAGAATTTACCACACCATTGCCAGCTTCTCACTTGGTTGGTGTTGGGTAGAGGCAACTATGATTTAATTTAATTCATTTGTGAAAAAAACCGAACTGGGCTGAGAAAATTATAGCTCTGAGAAATTCTTTTCACGGGCTGTGGAAACCTGACTATTAATTATGAAAGAAGATGAGATAAATAATTCTAAATAATTTGAAGTCTCTTCATAATTAATTTCTTATTCATTTTTCCTAAATAACTGGGAGAGACAGAAACTATGACATTCTAATGTTACATTTTATGAACACTGAAGAGAAAATTCTTTGATTACAAATTCATAGAAAACTAATACTTGTAAAATAGTAACAACTGGAGTGTACTGAGTAGACACTTGGGAGAAATAATGCATTTAAAAGAGCAACGTAAGCAAATATTCGACCTCAGCCTCTTGAACTGAGGTGGTATAAGTCCCACGGCTGTGTCAGACTTACTTTGAAGATTCCCCAGGAATGGGAGGTTAGGTGCTTTGCCCTTAAGATCAAAGGAAGGACAGAGACCAGCCTCTGCTTTACCCCGGTCCTGCGCATGGAATTATAGCTCCTGTTTGCCCACACAGTGCCCCGAATGGGTGGCTGTAGCATCTTTGCTGGATGGCAAACACCCGGGAGCCTCTTTGGCTCTTTTCTCCACAGCAGACGGACACCTCAGTTAGAAGAAGCCTTGTTACTGGAGAGAGCCATCCTTGGCATGTTTGCCACCATTGAATCCATAATGACTTGGTTTTCTCTTTTATCTTGAATTTGTTTTCTGCCAGTAGAAGATCCTCTTCTAATCACAGACTGTTGACAGAACAGTGCGAAGGTTTGTTTACTAGCTGGGTCCCACCGTTTGTAATTAGTATGCACCATGCTGCCTTTTAAAGAAGGTAAAAGTTTGTTTTGCTCTTCCCGCCAGACTGTGAAACACAGAATTGTGTCTTGTACATAGTCACATTTTACATTGCTCATGGTGAAATACAGTTGACTCCCGCATAAAAGCAAAAAGTCCTCATTGCTATCAGTTAGGAAGCCAGTATAACCTCTACCTGTCCTATGTCAAAGGCCAGTTAATAAAGTTAAACCTGATGTCTTACCACAGAGTTTTACAAATCATTATATGGGCTGTATTTGTAAACTACACAGAACTTGGTAGAAGCTTCAGAAGACTGAATGATTGCCTTTCTTTTCCCCCTATAGTTCTCAAAAACCAAAACCTCATTTTATGAACAAAGCTGGATCTTTGATTTTCATATGGTTTCTCTGAAATCCAGAAATTTGGATGAAGTAGCATTAAGGCCACGCCAAAAGTTAACCAAAGCAGCCGTCCCCTTGCCAAGTACACACCTGGCTTCCCTGTGCCCCAGCACGACACAGGGCCTCTGCCACCAGCCACAGGAATAGTCTGATGGGAGGCTAGTTCTCAGGGCCTGTGGATTCTTCACCTCCAAGCTCTCCAGCCCTCCTCAATGCCTAGGATCATTGGCTGCCGTTTTAGACACTGGATAAAACAAACATGCTACCATGTAATACCTATGTGCAGTGGTAAGAGGAAAAATACTTTTATATTTGTTAGTGAATACAGGTACAACAATTGGTTTCAATTTGCCTAGAGCAACAGAGGAAGAAACAGTCAGGAATACAAGGAGAAAATGGAATGTGTGGCTAATTGCCTCCATGAACAACTACCTCCTTTGCACATGAGACCAGAAGAGCTGGATGGTGCCTGGCTACCATTACTGAGCATTTCGATCAAAGATTCTGTAGAAGAATCCTGCTCAAAAGGGAGAAAATGTGGAACAGAATTTCACATTCTCATGGACTCCAGACTTTCTGGAGCCATAGAGGCTGGAAGAACCCCCCCAAAACTATTGCCTTGAGATAATCTTTAAACCTTTAACCTTAAACCAGAAATATCCCCTGAAATCTTCTTAAAACCAAACAAACAATGTTGTTGTTGTTGTTAGGTGCCATCAAGATGGTTCTGACTCATAGCAACCCTGTGTACAACAGAGTGAAACACTGCCCGGTCCTGTGCCATCTTTACAGTCGTTGTTATGCTTGAGCCCATTGTTGCAGCCAGTGTGTCAGTCCATCTTGTTAAGGGTCTTCCTCTTTTTCGCTGACCCTCTACTTTACCAAGCATGATGTCCTTCTCCAGGGACTGGTCCCTCCTGACAACATGTCCAAAGTATGTGAAATGTCATAAAGTCTCGCCATCTTTGCTTCTAAGGAGCGTTCTAGTTATACTTCTTCCAAAACAGATTTGTTCGTTCTTTGGACAGACCATGGTATATTCAGTATTCTTCACCAACACCACATTTCAAGGGCGTCAGTTCTTCTTCTGTCTTCTTTATTTATTGTCCAGCTTTTGCATGCATATGAAGTGATTAGCTTAACTGTTAAGGAATGTGTGCCTTGAGCATTATGCTCTCAAGATCTGTCTATATGGGATCAAATTGACAACAGCAACTCGAAAGATTAGATGGGAAACTTAGGGGGCAGTGAGTTTATGTTAATGGGGAAGGAACAATTCAGAAAAAGAGGATGAGAATGGTTTCACAACTCGAAGAATGTAATCAGTGTCACTAAATTGAATATGTAGAAATTGTTGAATTGGTTCTGCTGAGTATATTCTCAGCAACAACAACAAAAATAAAATAAATTATTTAAAAAAAATAGTTAAACTGAATATGTGGCCTTGGTATAAAAATACAAATGTGAAGACTTGTTTGATAAGGAAAGTAAAGATGGCCTCTCCTGTGTATTAATAGCCACAAATACTTTTTCAGGGCCCACAACCTGTCACCTACAGATCACCAAGCAGCTTTCTACCTGGCTCTGCAGCTTGCCATCTCCAGACAGGTGAGTTCCTTCCGCTGATGCTCCTGAGTTGTGCACGTTCTCTTCTGTCTCAGTGTAGTTCTCTGCGCTCCTCAGTTTGAGGTGGTAGACGATCTTCCTTCATCCACTTGGGGCTGACTCAGAGCCAGAGGCGCTTCTCAGAGGACGTTGACCCCTCACTGAAGACCCTTGGTGTTTGGTCAGTTCCAGCATCATCTATGAAGACACAGGAGTTCCCAAGGCTCTGCTTTCAGAAATTGTGTCTGCAAATCTGGAGGGCCCAACCTGTGGTCAGATGACAGCATGGGGCGTAGCGCGCGGCATGTATCCTGAAACCAGCAGTCACCAAGCAGCTTTTGTCACTTGCTAACAGGAACAGGGTAGGAGACTCCAGTGCTGAGTTGCATGGTGGGGATTTAGTCACTGGTTGGGTCCCAGTTGTCATAGGGTATCAGTGATTGATACGAAGATGCCAACAGACGCAGACAAACAAGTACCAGTTCTGTTAAAATACACAGAAGATAGAAGCAATTACACACAGTGGCTATTCGAAGTAAGAGACTCAGCAGTATTCTCCTTGCTGAAGGGACAAGCTTCCTTGGCCTCCATCCTCTCACAAAGACGGTGTCTAGAAGCTGCCTTTGCCATTCTCCTACCCTCCCATTGCTCCCAGTTGTTCTGGAGACTCTGGCCACGTGCCTGCCTGCCTACCAGGTGCAAGACACGGGTGTTAACCCCAGCACATTCCTGAGTGCTGCCTGGGAGAGTGAATCAAAGGTCAGTCCCCAGACACACCATTCCTCTGGCAGGCCCAGGCTTTAGGCCTGCATCTGACTTCCTGGTTGCCTGGGAATGTGTTGAGAAGTGGCTCCCATTGGTGACCTGAGGACAGAGGAAACCAAGATAGCTCCTCTGTAAAGGTCCCCTCACCTGGTGTGATGTGGCTCGCAGCCGGCCTGATCTAAGCCCGTCAAGAGCTGCTACTGGAGCAGACATGGGCCAGTAATTGACCATCTGGTCTCTGCCCTCCACAAGGAACGTCACTTATTCCTCCGTGAAGCCTCCTTTGTGTAGCAGCCTGCACTTCTGCCTCTTGCTCAGCTCTCTTGACCCTTCAGGTTCCATGAGAGCAGGAACCCACATCTGGCATCTTTGTGCTTTACCCTGGCCTGGCATGTGTTGGGCATTCAGTAGCACTTGTTGAACGAATGAAACAGCTTTGAATTCCTTCCACCCAGCTATCCCTTAAGGATATCATTTCAAAACGTGTATCAGTTTGACCCTGCTTTCTCTGGTCATCTCTGTAAACCAACACCATGAGTATACCTTGTCTTTCAGCCCTCCCATAATACCAGGTTGAGTGCTGGTCATACAGTGCTATCACCCTGGGGAAGGGGGAAGGGAATGGAGCCTTGCCCTGTGGGCACACAGCATCACGGCACCAGCCCTCCATGGCTGTTTCCTTGCTGACCAGTGGGGGCTGACCAGTGGGGACAGGGTCTGAGGTTTGTGACCCTGTTATTCTTTACAGCCAATGCCATTTGCCTGTGGGGAGAGGAAGGGAAAGTATCAGAAGATCTAGGGTCACCCTCATCTCTGTCACTCAATAGCTGAGTGGCCTTGCTAAACAAATTTCTCCTCTCTGAACCTCAGCTTTCTCCCTGTAAGTGAAGAGGTGGGTAGTGGTAGCCGTGATTCTATGGTTCAAAGCAGAAAGCCTCCACAGCCAGTATTTAAAACCTAATCCAGCAAACATGGAATTTCAGAGAGGAAAGCTAAGAGGTGTAGGGGAGACCCAAGTCGGAGCTGCCTACTAAGGAGTGAGGTCACTGAGGGTTGTCGATGAAGCAGGAGAGCTGAGAAGATGGTCCAGCACAGGGGCTGGGGAGAGGAGACAGGAAGGGGTTCCTGGGGTGGGTATGTCGGAACGCTTCAATCCCAAGCTCTGTTTCAAAGTGCAGCTTCACTTTCTAATTCTCCTTAGTTACTGTTAAACCTGCATGGAATTTAGGGTGTTCAGATATCCATTATGTATGCATTTTATCAACCCTTGTGCTTGGATGGTTTTAAAGAAAGTCTTGGACAGCTGTTGTATTTTAAAGGTTAAGGTTATATCTGGTCCTACTTGAATTTGGATATATCTGCTTTGTATGTGGCATTGCAATTTGTTTCTTGGATTGGGTTATTTGGGGTTATAGTTTGGAAAGGTGTGTTGGAAAGGGGGGTTGTTTGTTTGCATATTGCCTTAATGTCTAATGACAATCTAAGACAAAGGGTCTTAAAAAGAACCACAGACGTCTGATCATTTGGAAAGTTCTGTTAAAGATTTTCTAACTTATTAAGCACCTTAATTTCACAGAAATACTTTAAAAAACAAGAACGGTTCAGCAGACAGTTTAATTCCACTAAAAACCTCTGGCAGTTTGTGTATGCCTCCATTTGGAGTGAAATCATCTTGGGGGTAATGAAAAGTAGATCCACTTTGTGGAAAAAGAGAAAATGTTTATTTAGAGAGAAATAAAAGATTCCGGCATTGGTAGATTTACAGAGAAACGGGGTCTCCTGTATCACTTCATTGGTCAAACTGCCACTTGAAGAAGGCAGCTGTTTTCATGTTTGTGGTTAACGCCCTGGGGCGATCGCAAAGACGTGGCTTAGAATCTGGATGTGGCGCAGAGTGAAGCAACTCTTGTTATTTACAGAGGTTTAGATATTGAAATGGTGGCTTCTTGTGTGTGGTGGGGGCTTGCCCACCTTGCCCCTTTTATAACATCACAGTGTGTTTAAAAATTGTTTCTGGTTGTGTTTTAAACCAGATTCCAGAGGCTCTGGGGTACGTCCGCCAAGCTCTTCAACTTCAAGGCGATGATGCCAACTCCCTGCACCTCCTTGCTCTCCTACTGTCAGCCCAGAAGCATCACCACGACGCCCTGAACATCATTGACATGGCCCTAAGTGAATATCCAGAAAACTTTATGTAAGTGGTCCTGGGCTTTGTTTTCCCTCACTCAAAAGTCACTGAACTTGCTTCCTCTCCCCTCTGTCTCTCCAGTCTATCTAAGTCCTTCATGGCCTTCTCAGGGGGTGAATAATACAAAGTCCTCTTTAGCTGTGTCTTTTCCTGATATTAAGAAACAGACACAGTCTGTCAGGTAACTCTTAACCAGTATTAAAAACCTGATACTGTGGAGTGGATTCTGGCTCATGGCAACCCATGTGTTACAGAGTACAACCTTGCCATAGGGTTTTCTTGGCTGTAATCTTTTATGGAAGCAGATCGCCAGGCCTTTCTTCCATGGCACCCCTGGGTGGGTTCAAACAGCTAACCTTTCGGTTAACAGTCGAGTGCTTAACTATCTGTGCCACCTAGGGACCTAACACAGTATGAGGTCATCCTTATTTCGTTTAAATACTTTATCCACTCTTTCCCAGTGTGTTCCCTTTGGGTACTCAAGATGATTTTAGATGGATTGTGGATGAGCATTTTTATTTCAATAGTTATACATTTATTTTAATGTACATTAGAAAAAATATAACTGCATATGAAGGTGTGATTTCATGGAAATTGTTGTTTAGGGGAAGACTAAGAATTTTAAAAATGAGTTGTTTTAAAGTCAACTTAAAGAAAAATATTAACTAAATAATAATAATACAGATATGCATGGATATGGCAAAAGTTACACTGAGCAAACTCAAAGGACTGAGATTTGGGAAACGTTGCTTTAGAGCTTGTTTGTCCTGAGTTATCAAGGGCTTCCACAGGCTCTGGGTGATCATCATACTTCATACAACTTTGGTGAAGATATCTGACTCCTTTGTGCCTTAGTTTTATTCTCCAGGAAGTGGGATTCCTTAAATTAATTAATTAATATCTGTACATAACGTAAGAATTGTCATTATAAACTGCTTGAGCTGTCTGTTTATCTTCACATCCTTCCTCTGAGTCACCCAGCAATGCCCGTTGGTTAGGCTTTGTTGAGAAGGACATTGTCCTTTGGGCTACTCGGTTACCATTTTATCCTCGGTGGTGGTAGCTTAGTAACCCGTACGCAGTGGCCAGAAACAATCAACACTCCACTGCATGCTTGGCGATTCTGATTGTCTACGGTGTAGCTTCAGTAACAGAGCTGGGGCGGCCCGGGGAGGCGGGGGAGGCAGGAATGCAGTAGGTGGGCCGGGCTGCTTTTCCTCACTTTCAGAAGTAAGTGCAGTCCTCAAACTTTAAGTGGGTCAGCTTTGGCTTTATTTCTCTATCTCATCACCTCATTGTGTTTTTAATTAGTGCATTTCAGCAGCTCTCCTTGGAAAATTGGTTCATGCATTTCCATTACAAACATTTCTTTGTCTTCAAGTGAAAAGGGCACTTCTCTTCTCCCCATCGAGAGAATTCTTGTTATAATCCAGGAAACCTCTGGCTAGAGGTTTCTTTTGTAGGTTCAGCTATTTATGTAGAGTGAATTAAAGAGCTATGCTGCAGTGTTTTACTTCTTGCAGATCTCAAACTTGCTCTTTTGCACACTGAGTATGTTTATGGATTTTAGCCAACGCTGTTCAGCCCGTGGAACCTTGAAGTGGTTAAGGTACTTTAAAATATATTCGGTCCTTTACCCATCAGTAAATGCAACTGAATTCAGTTTCTCTCATCAGTGTTTATAAAGCAATGCCCCCTACTTCCTACCCCTCAGCACACACACACCTTCCACAGACAGTAGACTCCAGCCTGTGGGTCCTGTTCCATAGCCCAGGGTGTCATTTGGAGGAAGTAACCATACCACACAGTAAGCAGTATAAACAGTGATGGCTAATATGGTAATGCCTCCAAGTGACAGCAGCTGACAGCCTTTTCAAGTGGTAGAAGTAAGGAACAGCAGTAGAGATATTTGAGGAATGCAAGTGTGTTATTTTAATGTTAATTTGTAAGCTCAAAAAAGCAAAGCATATGGCAGCAGGTCTGAGAGCAGCCAATGACTTGTTTGCTTTTTAAATATTTGTATTCCTTCCTTTGTGGTAGGAAACTTCTTCCTGAGATTACTTTATTAAAAGTTGGGGCCAGACCTGAAAGAGACTGGAGAAACCCCAAGAGTGTGGCCCCCAGACACCCTTTTAGCTCAGTAATGAAGTCACTCCCGAGGTTCACCCTTCAGCCAAAGATTAGACAGCCCCACAAAACAAAAGGAGACTAAAGGGGCACACCAGCCCAGGGGCAAGGACTAGAAGGCAGGAAGGGACAGGAATGCTGATAATAGGGAACCCAAGGTCAAGAAGGGAGAGTGCTTACATGTCCTGGGGTTGTTAACCAATATCATAAAACAATATGTGTACTATTTAATGAGAAACTCGTTGGTTCCATAAACCTTCATCTATAGTACAGTAATATATATATATATATATATATATATATACTTAAAAAAAAAAAAAAAGTTAGGGCCAGATGTAGTCAAGTGAATACCATGGTTTCTTTTCAACCTGGGAAAAATATTTCAACACCAGCCTAAATGAGATTATGGGCACTTGTCCTGACTGCCTCGGAGTATGATCTGTTTGTGATGAGCGTGACTCCAGTAGAAGTGTAGACTGTCTGAAGCCTGGGAATATCCTGTCTCTTGTGCCCTACCTGCCATACCTACCATAGACTCCCATTAGGGTTAGTCCTGTTCAACTGTCGAACAGTTACCAGAGAAGACAGCTGAATGTTGTTGAAGGGCCAGCTGGTCTCCTCAGTGGTAGGCATCCATACTGTCATTATGAAATGATGATAAAAATTGGCTTTATGTACCTTGGATAAGCTTAGTAGGGACCAAAAGTTTCTGTAATTCTCTACGTCAGGCTATGAGGCACCATCCCAGCCATTTTTTCCCTCCGGGTAGGACTGAGACCTAATGAGATTCAACAGTTGTGAAGAACTTCCCTAACTGTAGGGATTGTGGGAACCACGAATCCTTTCTCAAAGGAACTAAAAAAATAAGCTTGCTAGTCTGGAGAATAAGACCAAGAACCGTTTTCCAGGGTTCTATAGAGTTAGTTCTGTATGGAAGGTGAGGAATAAGGAAGAATCTTTTGTAGTGGTAAGGGCACAGTCTTGGAGTCAGATAAACTTAGCTTAAGACTCCAAATCCTTTACTTTTGAGTTGTATGGCCTTGAGCAAGTCACTGAATCTCTCTGAGCCTCGTTTCCTCACATGTAAAATGGGAATAATAAAATACCTGTCTCAGGAAGTTGTTGTGAGAATTGATTTGGTTAATGTATTTAAGGCATTTGTACATGATAATCACTCAATAATTGGTAGGTACTTGTTATTATTACTGCTGTGATGATGGTGCAGGACCAGGCAGTGTTTCGTTCTATTGTATGCAGGATCGCTATGAGTCAGAACTGACTTGACAGCACCTAACAACAGCTACTACTGCTAAAGTTTTTCAAATATGGTGATATTTTAGAATCTTTTAAAATTGCTGTTATTAAAAATTGAATACAAAAGAATATTTATAAAAGAGGTTTAAAATAATAATAATAGTACAGCGAACATATGTGTACCCACTTCTCAGTTTAAGCAGAACAATATTAACACAGCCTGTGAAGTTCCTGTGTGCCCTGCCTATTCCATCTCCCTTCTCCTGTCTCAAAGGTTAACCACCGTCCTGAATTCTATGTTGATCATTGTCTTGTGTTTCTATACCATGTATGTACTCCTAAATTAAAAAAATTTACTTTTGCCTACTTTAAAATTTTAAATAAACGGAAATGTATTGTATGTATCCTTATACTTCTTTTTGTTGCATAGCGTGATGTCTTTAAGGTATTTCCTTCTTGCACAACAATATTTCATTCATTTATACTGACAAATACCATATTTTTATACAAGTAATGTGCGCATTACATGTTTTTTTGCCTACCACGCCACCTCCTCACACGTTATTTTCCTAAGTCTGCTACGTGCATTGTATGTGTGGGCGTGCTATTTGTGAAAAATTCAGCCGTATTTTATTGTATACATATATACTAAGATATATTTATGCAGCCTACTGTAACTGAGTATGCGGGCTTTTATGAACAGTGTTGCTGTAAACATTCTTAAACAGGTTTCCTGGTGCACACTGGCAAACATTTCTCCAGGGATACAACCAGGAGTGAAATTGTTGGGTCATAGAGTATGTGTGCCTTCAGCTTTTACCAGATAATTCCAGACTGTTTTCCAAAGCAGTTGTGTCAGTGTACAGTCCCATCAGCAGTACCTGAGAGGGCCTGTGACTCCATTTCCTCACCAATACTGGGTGTTGTCAGACTTAGAATTTTTGGCAATATGGTGGCTGGTTAATGGTATCCACATTGTGAGTTTAAATTTTCACTTCCCTCCTAACTAATGAGTTTGAACATTTTTTTATTTGTCTAAATGGTCTTTTAGATTTTCTCTTTTGTGAAGCACTTGTACAAGTCTTTCCTCTATTATAGTTAGGTTGTCTTTTTCTTATAGATTTGTAAGATTTTTTAATATATTATGGTTACAAGTCCTTTTGCTGGTTATACATGTCGCAAAATTCTTTTTCCAATGTGTAGCTTGTTCTTGCTTTCTGTTAATGAGTCTTTTGATGAGCAGAAATTCTTAATTTTAAAGTCATCAAATTTATAAATATTTTTCCTATAAATTGTACTGTTTCCACAGGGATTTCAGTGTTTTAAGAACCTTTTCCCTTCTCCAAGATCTTGAAGATAGTCTTCTAAATCCCATTGCTGGCGAGTTGATTCCTACTCTTAGCGATCCTATAGTGACCCTGTAGGACAGAATAGAACTGCCCCGTAGGGTTGCCAAGGCTGTAATCTTTACAGAAGCAGAGTGCCACATCTTTCTCCCGCGGAGCGCCTGGTGGGTTCAAACCATTGACCTTTCAGTTAGCAGCCGAGTGCTTAACCATGGTGCCAATAGGGCTCCTTGATAGCCTTCTAACTTATCTTCTGAAAGCTCTCTTATGTTACCTTTC